CAATTGTTTCCCTTTCCCCTTTTAAATTACCAAGACAAACCTTAAGTTTTTTTAATATGAATTTAAATGAAAAAAAAAAGTAAATGACAAATTGAAGAATTATCCTTAGACTCTCTGATGAGGATAAGATTCTAATTTTGTGATGAAATTGAATAAACTGATATTTAATCTGGAAACCTATTACAGTATGTTTTCTTTATATATTTAATATGTTTTTCCTATATATCTTGTATATGTTTTTCTTATGTTTTCGATCCTCTCACGGCGCGGTCCCGGGATGCATTTTTTTCACAACGCAAAAATGCTTTACCGTTTCACTATACGATCACTACAATTCACTTGAAACCTTAGTAGACAATGGTCGTGTAGCAAGCTTCATAACATTATTTCCCGGCGTGAACGAAGCTTCATAACACAATACTCGGGATCAGTCGTTTTGGCTTCACTGAACATGACGACGGTACCAGTTTAAACAGGCCCCCTCTGGAAGATGGAGTGAATGGGACACAAACCATTGGTTTTCTTCCATACAGTCCAACCTCGTTAAGCCTTCGTGCAGCAGCAGAACGGCTAATTCGAGTTCCTATGGCAGCATGAAGCTCTAAAACCAAATCCCTTGCAGTTTCTTCGCGCCAACAAGGATATAAAACGCTCTTCTGATGCACTTGTTGCTCTTGGTCGCCGTTGACCAAGGCTGTCTGTCAACCGATTCATTGCTTAAAAAAGCAGCTTCAGATTCAAATCTTTTGCGACTTCCATTTGTATTTGACTTCTCTCGATTATACCAATTTTTCGCCACTTTGACCTTCACTTAAATGATGCTTTGAGCCATAACTACTGAATACTGATTGGTCTCAGAAACCATATTCAATTTAAACTTTACAACAGACCGGAATTCCAACAGGCATCCATTGCGCACCCCATTGTCAGTCACCGAATTTGCATATTTCTGGCGCTGAAGTATGCGCGGAAGTGCAATTTTGTGTTCAAATGTATTTAATTAACAGAGGCGTAGCTAAGGTTTTCATCGACCGGGGACACCTAAAGATTTTGCGCCCCTTTCTGTGTTCCAAGAATGGAAAACATTTCATTCTGAAATGTTTATCATCAATTGTGCCGCCCCTGGATGCTGCGCCCGGGGACGGATGTCCCCCTTGCCCCACCCTAGCTACGCCACTGTTAATTAACGTAAATAATTATAGCATCGGGCATTGGTTGCAACATTAACTTAGTGAGCATATTTTTTCCTCATTACCCTTTAATTTTGATGACCAGTGTATATGGTGCAGCACGAGTTCTGTAAAAAAATTGGTCTTAGGGCTTCAAAAGCAAGCAAGCAAGTCAGCAGCAAGACGCGTTAGGAGCGTAGTTGTTCATACTTAACGTATTATTTAAGCTATTTTTACAGTTTAAATATTTTTCGAACTCAGAATTGAAATATCTACAAGTGCATGTAAGAAATATATCTATATAAGAATAAAATGAATTTAAATATTTATAGAAATTTGCAACAATTAATATTTATTTACCTACCACAGAAATGTAATCTTATAAACATGTCTGTCCGGCCATGTACTTACAGAAAAATACTTGTGTGTATTCAGAAATATTCATGAGCATTCACTGATCCATCTATATAATGTAAAAGACATGACAGACCTCCTGACGAATAGGATAGCTTATTTGAATACGGGAAAGCATACTAGTCCTATCTGCTGAGGGGAAATGAGGACTTTCTAAATGAAAACTGGATCAAATTCATGTTTGCAGATGTAAAAACTGTGAAAACCTATCATGCAACCAGCGTTCGCATGGGTTCGAACTTGGGTGATACTACTAGTATTCAGTAGTCTTAATCATTCAGCCATGTGAAAGTCTCATAAAACCTCCAAAGTGCAGGTGGAAAGAACTGAGCACCTTTGTCGCCTCATCCGAATTTCCAGCCCTCTGTTTTAGTGAAATTCTTAGTAACATGTTTCGTCTGATATTATACTTCTTTATGCCTCTTGTTTTCATAAAGAGTCAAATTAGTCCATAACAATTTAGAATCAGCCATAATTTAAGTTTTAGAAGCTAGAAGTCATTTCTGGACCAATCATCCAAGATAGATAGTTTTAATGTGGTTTTGCATGTGATTCTCATGGACTATCTTATAAGACCTACAAAAAGCTTCCGAAATCTGTATCTGTATTTATCTATCCTAAACTGCTCAGGTAGTTGAACTGCATCAGCATCACATGTGATTGTGTGACACAGCAAGTCGCTTTTCAAAAGGTAGAACGGATCAGTCTAAGAATTTTGTACCGTTTTACACGTATCCTAATTACCTCTTTCGCCTACTCCCTTTTCTCTCATTGTTCATCGCCTTTGCTTTCCATTTCATAGTGGTGCAGTTTCCACACACAGATCGTATTTTATTCTCGAGTGTCAAGATGTAGAAACATCTTTTACTCGACTCCCGAGATGAGATAGTTCTCCAGATCCTTTTGACATCCTCACCGTCCCTCTCTGTCTTCTGACATCTCGCGAAGACGGTACTACTCACGTATAAGAATTATTTGGAAAATAAATGGATTTTATTCATTGTAAATTCCCGAATTTTTTTAATTTACTATATTCTGTATGGTTGCTGAGGCAGGCTCCACAGGTACACTACCTTATCAATTCTTGCAGAACTGGACAGGCTGACTGCCATTGTGCATTTCGATGTCCGACGGAAAATGCTTTCCTTCTGGAACATCTATGTGTTTGGCTCACTACTGTCTTCAACCTGTACAGACTGATATTATATATCTGGTATCGATTTTATCTGCCTTCTAATGGACTCATAGATAATATCAACCGAAAACGCTTAAGATAGCACTTATCTGCATCATTCGTTCTAACCGATGATTTTAATGACGAGAATCCTCTTTAAGGAAGTAAGGATAAAAACTTAAATATGTAAACAGAGCAACTAAGTATGTCACTGCGTATGCCTCCATAACGATAGATAGCAAACCCATATCTACGAACTTAAAAGGTATTAAAAGGCTACTTCACAGCACTGATCTGGTTATATGTACGCCATTACATCTATCATTTTATACATTTAGAATCTAGAACGACCCATTTAATCAGGGCGTAGCTAGAGGGGGGGCAAGGGGGACATCTGTCCCCGGGCGCAGAATCCAAGGGGCGCCAAACTGATGTTACGACATTTTAGAATTAAATGTTTTCCATCCTTGGCAAGCAGTAGGGGGCGCGAAATCTTCAGTTGTCCCTGGGCGCTGAAAACCCTAGATACGACTCTGCATTTAATACTGAATATTTCCCAATATTTGCGTCTTTTAAAGGAATATGCGTGTCGGACTTCCATCTCTAGCTTTTCTTACGAATGAAAAAGTAAGGTGTGTAAAAATAGATGATACTGTGGAGACCGTTACTGATCTGTTGTCCAGGCGTTCAGAAACCACAAATCTGTATTCCTACGTCATCAGACAGACTTCTTAGATACATATCTAAAATCATAACAGAACCATAGAAAGAGAAGTTTAGTTAAGACTTATGACAAACCCTAGTCCGAGAATATTAGCAATTCCATGCTGAAGCATTCGTTGACTGAGTCTTTTATTAGTTTCCCTTCTTACTCTTTGTAATAGAGGTTGTAGCAGGGCATTTAATGTTTGGCATAGAGAAATCCGAAAAGCAAAACTTAGAAAAGCCAGAATTGCGAATCACCTACGCAAACTTCTGGGGGAGGATGGCATACTGCAGCCTTGATCATTAGTTAGAAGAAAATGATAATACCTTTCCTAATCACAATGGTTTTCTAGAAAAGAAGATCAATACTGATAATGTACTTCTGTTCAGAGCTATATGTTCTGCTTTTTTTAAGAGGAATCACTTGATGTCAATATTTTTGTGACAAAGAAAAAAGTGTATGACTTGGAGTTCTCTAAGATCTGTTCATTGTTGTTTGCAGAGACCTTCCAATTTTTAAACAAAAATTTCTCGAAGGACTGGCTGTTTCTCATAAAAACTGATACTTTGTTGTTTTAAGTCATTAACTCTTTCCAAAATTTTCGGAGTGTTATGTTATGTCATAACACATAGCTTATTAAATTATCTGCAGTCTCCGACACCAGTAACCTATTAGGGCGCAGCCCGGTCCACCTTGCAAAACAAAGTTTGCCTTATGACCCTATACGGGCTACGCCAGTACAAAAATCACCACACAACTATACAACACACGAATCACACACTGATAATGGCTTCTTTATTGTTGTTAATAATCTTCATAATCTTATGCGCTATTCCTCTTGCCTTAAGTAAACCATTTTTCATAAAATCTATGTTCGCTCCATCAATGCATCTGGTTAACTTAACATTCTGTAATAAAGTGGACATTGTCTCCTACTTTTGTACATACTTTACATAAATCATTATCTTGAACATGGAATCTTTTCAGATAAAAGGGAAATCTCCCATGACCTGTAAGTAACTGATTCAAGTCAATGTCATTGTTAATATTCATATTTTCTTTAGGAACAAAAATCTTCATGAACATATTATTTTAAGCACAGTTTTCCCATTGAGTCCGCCGTTTATCTACAATGTCACACTTCATAATGTTAATGCATCTTCTCCTGGAGGCTTGTACATCGACAGTTTCAATATCATTACTCATTGTTGCCTCTTTTGCTAAGACTATAGAGACATTAGGATTTTTTGGAAGCCAGAGAGATGAAAAATTAGCAACAGGCTTCGCCGGGAATCGAACCACGGACCTCTGGAATACCGGCTCAGTGTGCAGAACCACTACACTACGCTGGGCAAGTGGGAGAAATACCTTATAAGACATCCGCCCTCTCATTGCCCAAACAACCAGTATGGGCTTTAACCCAATTAAAATTCAATTGATGCCATACCTCCAATTGTATCACACCAAATTTTTAATAATTTGAATATTTAAATTTTGCTGCTCGGGGTCAGAGAGTGCTTGAAGAACTGACATACAATCAGAATGTATTGTAATTATATTGTGATTCATTCAGATTTCTTACAAGCCACTCCAAGGCTTTTTGTATAGCAATCAGTTCGGCTTGATACACCGAATTATATTTTTCTAATTTAAACTTTGCATGTTTAATCTCCAGTCCACGATAGAACACTACAAATGCTAAGCCAATTTTTCCCTCCAACCCCGAGCCATCCGTATAGACATCAATATCATTAAATACAGGAATGTATCTATTAAAAGTAATTGATCTTCTTTCCCTTGGATGTAAAAGATGACAATTAAAAATATAAAAAGCAGTGTTAAAAACAATATCATCTGTATATGTATAAAAGTCAATCTTATTTGATCTCAATAAAAACTTTTTATAATAAAAGTCATAGGACAACGAGATGGGCGGAATGCCCGCAAGTATATTAGCAATTTCCGTAGGAGCAGTTCTAAAACGTCTTGTGATTGCCAGCAGCCAGCCTCTCTGGATAGAATTCAATTTGTTCCTTAGTCTCAGCAACTCCGCTGCCCTAGAACCCCAAGCTCCAACACCATACATTATAATAGGAGCAATAACACATTCATAAATTTGTTTCATAGTCCTATTCTTAATAGCTAAAATCTCACCAGAGAAGGATCTCTTATAAAATTGATCTTCATGGGTACAAGTATTCTTGGATTTAATTTAAGAAAGTATGTAAATTTACTGCAATATCACATATCAGTGATCTTTACTTGTAGGTTTCTGGCGATCAACAGCATTGGCAGGCATCTATGTTCTTCAATATAATTATTATTAAAAATGCTATCTAAATTTAGTACACTACTCTGTACTAGTGAATCTGTTAACAAGTGACAACCAAGCTTTAACTTTTTTGATCGAATGTTATAAATTATGTACGGGCTATCTGCTTAGTTGGAGGGATATCTTTCTCAGGGAAACAGCCTCACATTACCTGAAGATTTGGAACATCTATTCAGACTATGTGGTTTGCTTTTACCAATCACTCCACCTAAGTTAAAAAAGTTCTCTTTGATTTAAAAATGTTTTGGAAATCTGATCATCCAGTGCTTAGTAACTATCATTCTTGGTACTAAATGCATCCATTCTGCACTCCTACCTTTGGATTTCGCGTCCAAAAGGTAACACAACTATTCTTATGCCTGAATAGATCTAGAAATACCCCTCTGCACATATGAAACTTTATTAATTATTACCTGAATTATTTCAGAATTTTATTAAAGATAACAGTGATGTTATTAACTGCAGCATTTTTATGAATCCAGAGAATATAATAGTTATATTCCAGTCTATACAAATGTTTCTAGGTTCCCTAATCACATCGGTTTGGCTGTTATGTATAATACAACACAACTTTAAATAGCTTATATGGCATTGAACCTATGATAACGTTTTTGAAAAGTACAAAATCTTTTTTATAGATATATTAAGTTTGTGAAGAAGCCACGTTTAATTTTTATACTTCCATAAACAGCAACGTGGTTTAACATAGTAAAATCTAAATTTTTTTTTTGTAGTTTTTTCAACAGTTCACAACAATTTTATTTATATGTAGTAGTATTTTAAAACTGTACTTGGACGTATTCTTGTCTTTACTTACCAGTTTTTAGAAAATCTGGAAAATGTTTGGTATATATTTGATACTGTATAATGCATTTAATTTGCACCAATAAAACCAATTCTTATTTTTGTTTCGCTCATACCTTGCAAAGTTCATAGGATATGTTTCATGTTTTGTAGGTGTAATCTTTGGCATGAAAATACAAAGTTATATCTTGAACAGATCACTTCCACATACACAAATGATATACCATAACACAAAATATTCTGGTGAAATCCTATCTGAAATGATCTAAATTTTTGTGTCATGTTTCTCAGTATAAATCATACACACCAATACAGAACAGTATCTCGTATCTAAAAAATATTTTTTGGTTCCTTACGTATATCATTACAGTATTCATTTATGAAACCTCTCATTTTCTAAAAATGCAGGTTTTATTCCATATACTTCTGACACTTTGATGTTTTTAATCTGTAATAGTGCTTCAACTAGACCCAATATTTTAGAATTGCTTGTTGTAGGCTTTTTACACACCCCTATTCTGCATATCACAATATTAGTTGCTGTTATAATCAGTCACATTTATTCATGCTGTGAGAGAAAAACAGCACAGTTCAACATTGATGAAATAATTAACACTTAAATTCCAAGAATCATTCCTACTATATTATGATACAAAATTTAAGAGATTTATGAATGTGTGTTAGAATTGTAAAGTTTTCCGTTTAATGAAAACATTAGGAAATGTGACTTCAAATGGTTGCTACAGAATATTACAAGTTTGAATTTAACTAACTGCACACTTTTGCCCAATTCATGCACTATAAAACCTCATTATTTTGGTTTAGTAGATTAATAATTAGATATCAGATTAGCATTAAGTTTTATTTTCTCAGGTCATAGAGCATCCAAGAATAGAAATGATAATTAATTTAACACTTCAAAATATACTCATGTGCATGAAAATAACTGTAACTGATGCAAAATGGGAGAAAACATGGTCTTTGTAAAAGCAGTGTTTGTTCTTTAGTTATGAATGTTTAAATAAAATCTAGATTTTATGTATATGCTATTATTATTAAATTTAAATGAAATACATGTATATGCTTAGAGCAAATATTCACTTATTTTTAATGTGTCAAACAATTTATGGATATTGGAGTTCTGCAGAAAATTCAACTCTTTGAAACCATCCATGCAAATGGGAAACAAAGAAATTTCAGCAAGTACTTCTGTAATGACAGGAAATAATAATAGGCATTATCTAACTATTAAGTAATGATAAGACTTATTCTAGAATTAAAATTATTTAATTTCCTGAATGCTTTAATATAAGTCTGGCTACACTCTTCTGTGTGAAAGACCACAAGCCCTTTGCCTGACACACAAACTTTTAAGCCTCCTTATTTTGCAATAAATAAATAGTTAAAAATTAAAAAATGGGCTGTAACTTTAGCACTCATTTTTCATAATTATTATAAGACCAGTATATTCATCTTTTTGATTAGCAGCAAGTTCACTCCTATTTCTTTGTTTTTGAATGTTGAAAAATTAAAATATCTAATTATTGGTAGCTTCTTTTGCTATTGGAATGTGTGAAAGTTTAATTTGTATACAGCTTTACGTACTGAAACTTACAAATATGCAAGTACTCTTATTAACCAGGAAAAAAAAAAAAAAGTGTCCACATTTTTAAGTGACTATAATGTTTTTTAATCTTAATCAATGAAAATCAATTGATATCATGGATGATGAAATAAAGAATGAAAATATATTTTATTTAAGAAGAATTGGGATAATGTATTAGTCAATGTCTTGTAAGTAAAGCAGATACTTACTGAAGGGTACAAATTTAAGCTTATTTGAAACAAAAATTAAAAAATTAGAAAATTGCAAAAATACTAATTTGTATTCATTTTAATACAGCAATTTGATTTAAATCATATCAAAGAAGTACATGTACACATTTAGTAAGATTATATACTGATAACGAAGTTGATCAACTTCTTAATCGTGAAATTGATAAACAATCAATAATGAAAAATCAAATGACATGAATCATATAATGGGAAATCGGAAATTCTATTTGAATAATCGAAAAGCTTACTTTTAAAAATTGCTCTTAATGCAAAAAATAATAAGATCCAATTAAGAACATTAAAGAATAGATAATTTAGCTTATATGTTATACATAAAAAAACGTATTCTGTATATAGTAGTTATGTTATTTAAAAACTTATATTAAATTATACTGTATTATGCTTCATAGATATGACTAATTCCTAATATGTGGAGTAATTTTCAGTAAAAAATAATTCAACAATGGATAATTTTTTCCCCAGACTTTATTCAGAATACATAATAATTATTTTACAAAGTTTTTATTCATCTTTTATTTCTGAAAATAAAGACATATCAGATAAAATTCCTTGAATAGAGTATAAATATTATTATTCATCAACCATATTACTCAAAAATTTTATGAGTTTCAGTTTCAGAAAATTCTCCTGGCAGAGCTTGCTCTTGACTTTTAAATACATACCAGATTCCTGCCAATCGTTTACTGAAAAATAAAGAAGACTAAATTCAATTGTGAAACAGCCAAGATCACTGAAAACAATGCACTATTCATTTTGCAAACATAAGCCTGAAATATTAAAAATGATCAGATTGAGATCAGATATGAGATTATTTATGAACAGAAAAATTTGCAGTACTTGCATACTATCCCATTGGCCATGAAAATTGGTGCAGAACCACTAATCATTCCTGAGGAAATCCTTCACAGTCAATGGGATGAAGTGTTAAGTACAAATTCTCTGATTCCTCTTTAAAAATAAGAGAAAATTTTGGCATGTAGGTCCCCGAGAATGCATTGTTAACATAAAATGAACTATTCTCTATTATCCACAATTGGGGGTATCACCCTGGCCAAAAGGGTTCATTGTTGCCTACTTTAACAATTTTCTCTTATACTACCAAGTTACATACAAACATAAGCATTTTTATTTGTTTATTGGCCATATAACATCATTACAAAATAAAGCAAACTAAAAAAAAAAAAGTGTTTTTATAGAAACTGTATGGCAACAGATGAATTGCAAATATTTGTCCATTATACTTTATATTTTTCAAGCATCACCAAAGGAATGGAATGCTGTCCTGAAAAACATTTCTTAATTTAAATTTCTTTAATATATCAATCACTTAAAATTATATGCTTGTATATCAATTTCCGGAATTCAGTTATATTAACTGGCGTATTTAAACTTTGATTTTTAATCCTCTGATAAGCATAGTAGCATACTAAAACACCACAGCTCATATTATCAGTTTGCAAAATATGTGAAGGACAAATTATTTTCCATTTAGTGCTAGTAGCAAATATTTTAGCTAAAACCTCACACCATGTATGAATTAAAATTTGATACTCTTGCCCACATGATTATTTTGTGGATCATAAAATTCAAAAACCATATCTGGAATATTTACTATTATTAATATCCAATGACAATTTAAATTTGCAGGGATAAAAAATAATTTCGCTGATTTCAATCTTGTTAGTAATGGATCTTTAATACAAAAATTTGGTTTAGGAATTTGTAAATTAGACTTAACAAAGGCAAAATCTTCATAACTGTTTAATATTTTAAATAAAAAAGCATCAATTATAGTATTATAGAGCCATCCTTTTTTCGAAAACATGAAGATACAGATTTAAACAAGTGTTCTTTCATTACTTATAAAAGGATCTATAGATTTTAACATATATGGTGTAATTTCAATATCATGTATTTTTAAACATGATTTGATCAAATCTTTATTCATTCTAACATTTACTGAAAAGTTTGAAAAAATGGAAGGGAAAATGATTTATTTTGATCAACACTGGTTAAATCACATAGATATTTATCACTGTCATTTAAATCAAATGCTATGGCTTTAAATTTAATTTTCTTTTCCACACATTCATTTATTTCTGGGTCATCTACATTAAAATCTTGATTCTTATTCTGCTGACATTTCTGTAATTTTCTCTTTTTAGAAGTTTTAAACAATTGTGGGTTAAGTTTTTGATTTGGTGAAACTGGACATGATGCACTTGAAACTGCTCTTGAATTTTCATTCGAGTTTAAAATTCCTCTACATTCTGAAACTAATGAATTTAATGTTGTATGAACACACTTTAACATGACATTTTGGACTTTTGGTTGTCTTATTAATTGCAGTAATTCTTCTACAAAGCTTTTCACATGCATTTACTCTCTGTTCAATACTTTGTGGATTGTAATGATTAACAGAATACACATTTATTGATTTCATACTTTCATTGCATTTCTGATTCGATTCAAGATTAATCCCCGAGGGATTAAACACACAATCATTTTGTCTATTAAGGAATGAATGCACTTTATGTATATGTTTGCACAGCAATTTATCTAAGCAATTGCAGTGATACAAGTGACTACACAATGAGACACATGATACTTTAGGGCATCTATAAAAGCAAAAATCCTGACACGGACAAATTTCAAAAAGACGCTGCACAGTATATTTTATTTTTTGTCTGGAGAACAAACAGTCCAAGAAGTATCAGAGCATTTATTACATCACTGTCCCTAATTTTTAGTCCTCTCTGATGCCTACTTAAACAAGAAATGGAATTTCTGGGAGATACATTAGTGTATAATTTATAGGTATGATTTAAATATTTATCTTTCTCAATTGTCAGAAGTGTAGAAATTAAAATATCTAATCGTCTATTATGTCTCCGCTTAAAATAAACAGTTTTCAACTGATTGTGAAAAGATTCACAGTACATGTTAGTATCAGTAAATGCATGTGGAAAGTTCCGATAACACAAAGCCCATTCCTCTAATCTATTTTTATAATTTTCAGAAAAATATTCAATAAAATCTCTACTTTTCCTAGAATATAGTCATTCAAAAACTTACTTATTTGATCATGAAAAGTGATCTGGTTTCTTTCATGTAATATTTTTGTTAATTCTCCTAGCATTTTTTTTTGTCGCACTTCCTTATCTACCACTTTAGAATTTAGTTGCCGGAACCAACTTTGGCGTACGTGCCACGAACATAAAAGATGCTTAACATCTTGACCAAAAACCTTTGAAAATGCAGGATATGTAACTTTGTCATCATCTGTCATTACACAGTTTACATATAAATTTGGTACACGACACTTTAAACTATTAAAATAAACAATAAAGAGTGTCAGCATCTAGAAAATTAGTAATAAAATGAGCAACTGGATAGCCACAACCAAATTCATCAGGTACTATAAGATTAAGAAGGTAAAAATCATACTGGTTAGTCTTATGTGTAGAATCGATACATAAAATCTCTGTACAACCTTTTATCATCATTTCTTTCTGTTCACGCGTCTGAAGACCAAGAGCAAACGATACTTTATGATTTGGAAGATTATCTAGATCAGTTGGACCGTACAAAGTTGAATTATTCTGAGGCTTATATAATAACACAGGATTGTATGCTTCACATTTTAAAGTTTCAATGATTGAATTAACAGAAACTGCATCACTACTTGGACGCAATGAATTGTTTAAATATCTAGAATAAGCAGAAATAGTTTTACGGGGAGAGACAAAGCTTTCCTTTACAGGGAAATTATTTCTATTCTCGCGATTTCCTGATCCATCTTGTAAGATATCCCTTATTTTTTGTGGAGGCACAGACAAACGTAAATTTGCTTTTATCAAACATCGCGTACTTTGTTTCAATGGCTGATATTTACAATTTTCAAACTTTTGCTCATGATTATGTTTAGGAAAGTAAAAAACAGAGATTTTATTCATTTCTTCACAAGCCCATATTCTGACTGGACAACATACACTTTTTGAAATTGTACCTTTTTCATTTTTCCGACTAGTTTTTTTTTTTTCAAAATCAGAATAACCTTGCGTGGTAAACTGACAACAATAATAATGATAAGTTTTAGAATTTTTCGTTACTTTAGAAAACTTTCTGAATGAAGTAAATGTCGAGGTTCCTTCCAGTTCTAGCCAATCTTGAAAATAACTCATTGTTTCAAATGAATATTCTTTTAAGTTATTTAAATTATGTTCATCTGCTAAATGCTTATTAAAATTTAAAACATATGTAAAAGACTTATGGCAATCAGGTATGAAGCATACATACAATTTATTAACTTCTGTGCAAAATTTCTTATGTTTAAAAAATAATTTGCAAGGATAACATTTATTACAATTTAGACATTTCCGAGGGTAAACAGATGAAAAATTTTGTTTTAAATCAGGTACTTGTTTATTTGAACATTTTTTTTTTTTTTTTTTTTTTTTTTTTTTTTTTTTGTGGTTATAAAATGAATTCTTCGATTTATAAGTTTTCAAGCATATTTCACATTTACGAAGATAAGCCATTTCTATTTTTTATCACTAATACATTCTTTGGTTTCTAATTTTTTAGCACTCAATACATTATCAATGTTTATAAGAATATTACTCTGAGGAGAAGTTATTGAAAGTTTAAAATTTTCAGTTTCAAGTTTTTCTTTGCAATTTTTTTTATGATTATTAAAAGAATTTTTAGTTTTTTATAGTTTTTTTACAAATATCACATTTTCTAGGATAAAGCGATGGTGCATTACAGTCAATTTCGGACCCCCCTCCAGTCAGAATAGGACACATAGACTTATTTTTTCCTCACTTGACAATTAATTTCACTGCTTTCTACATGATCTTTTAGTAAACAAAATTTATTAAAGTGAAAGAAACTTAGGCCTGAACTACAAGAAGTGCTTTTTCTGGTCATAGAAATGTTCTTTTGCTGCAAAACATAACTAGAGGCAAAGTCAGAGTAAAAATCATCTTTTGTTGTACACAATTTAGGTTGTGAAATATCAAAATTTGTTGAATCATTTTTTAAACTCCCTTTGCCACTAACAGAAGCACAATACAATGGATAACAATCACTGAAAGAAACAGCACTTGCCTGCTGTACACTACAACCAGCAGCAGTGACTGCATTCTTTAGTGATGATCCCATGTAGGCCATTACACTTCTTAGGCGCAAAACAGCTGAAGCAGCATTCTTCAGATGCAAACCTGCCACTAACAGTCAAATCCCTCCTTGGACACAAACCATCACCAAAAGCACGAATTGGTTTCTTCTGAAAACTAGCAATTGGGACAGTAGTGTTCGTAGAAGAATTAACAGTGGAACTAGCACTGCTCCTCAGAAAACGGCCAGAACCATGGACTGCAACACGCCTGGAGGAGTCAACATCAGCAAGGATATCATTTCTATGACAGGGGCTGGGAGTGACGTTATTCCTTGAATGCAAACCAGAAGCAGCATTCTTCGGATGACAGCCAGTACCACGGACACCAACAAGTCTAGAATGACAGCCAACACCGGGAATGACAACATTCTCAGGACTTAGGCCAGGGGTAGCAACGTTCCTTGGACGCAAATCAGAACCAGAACGAGGGACGGCAGCATTCCTTGGACGTGAACTAAAACCATTGACATACTTAAAATGAGAGCCAACACTACATATGGCAACATTTCTAGGATGACATCTAGGTTTAGTCCCATTCCTTACATGCAAACCAGAACCAGTTCTATGGACAGAAGCGTTCCTTGGGCGAGATCCACCACCATGGCCAGCAATGCAAAGAGACCGAGAGCTAGCATCTGGGTTGGCAACGTTTTTCGGATGTGAGCCAGGGGTGGTATCATTTTGCAGATGCAAACTAAAACCATCTGTGTGGTTAACAGCATTCTTGAATGAGAGTCACCACCATGGACAACACATTTAAAACGAGATCCAGCACCAGAAATAGCAACCCTCTTCAGCCGAGAGCCAGAAGCAACTTTAGCAGCATTTCTCAAATCAGAATTAGCCTTCTTAGTAGCATCTACAGCACAACCATGCTTTAAAACAGTTGAATAGAGAGGATAAGAAGGGCTTGCAGAAACAAAAGAATCACTCAGAGGTGGAAAATCCAATGTAGTAAATGAAACACAAGGCAATACAAAAGGACTTACCTTTGTAGAAACTGGCTTTGAAGTCAAAACAATCTTGATATTATCCAGGAAAACTGCCGCAAGTTTCTTGTTCCCCAGACGGTTTAGATGTAATCCATCCCTAGCCAATAACTTAGCTCCAAAATGATGAGACGACCTGCAAATAAAAAACGCTTCTCGATTTTGGCAGTACTTTTCAAGTTGAGAATTAATTTCTACAATCTTTCTATTAATTACCTGTAAACGGTTCAAAGCTGCTACTCGCTGATTTAAAGTTGTGAAAAAATCTTCACCACGTGGTAGGATATCTGAAATGATAACATTGATATTCGGGTTCAAACGTTTAATATCCTTAAAGAGGCAATCGTACTTTTTAAGAATATCTTCAACACTGTCATTCGAATTGTTGGTACCAACATGTACCAAAATCAAATGGTATCGATTGTCCAAAAAGGATATCTTACGTCTTAACCTTTCTATCGTTGCACCAGGAAAAGAATGTAAATCTACTTCATAATTCATAATTATGAATCTACTTCATAAATATAACAAAATACAAATAATTATTAATAGAAAAAAAAGAAGATAAATAGCTGAAGGAAAGCGAGAAAAATGGCGCAAAAAATACACACCTCACACTCGCTAATTAACACGTGAACTAAATTAGCGCCAATTCTTGACCTCGCGGAAAAATTTACGGGAAAAAAATAACGCCAAATGCTCGCCAAGCTTTGTTGCCAACGGAGATATCAAAGGTACATTTCCGGTGATGACGTAGACACACTTCCGGGTTCCGATTTGCGGAATTCTGTAAAACTCAAAAAATATAGACATTGCTTCCATAGAGACACAGAAATGAAAGAGATTGCAATTCGAATTAGAAGACATCAATCTTCCTGAATTTAATGTAGAAGTAAATTATTTGACGTGTTATATTTTAAGAATGAATGCTTAAAATTGATATATGAGCGCTTTTCAATTTATAATCAATGTTACAAAAAGTTTTCCTTTTTTTTAAGAATAAACTTTTACAAATTTAGAAATGGCAGCAAGTGTGTAAATATTTACTTTAGTCTATAATGTGTCTACGAATCTAAAGGGTTATATGGAATATTTTGAATCGTGTACAAATGGAAAATAAAAGAAAGTTCGGTCTTGTTCTACCTAAGAAAGCGGAATCAGTGTCTTTAAAAAGTAATAAACTGTTTGATAGTGATAGCGATGAAGATTCTTGCGGAAAGAAACCATCTACCAAAATACCTCAAGCAAAGCCTAAGAAAAGTATTAAAGCTGAGCAAGTTAGATGATCCCTCCATATATGAATATGACAGTATATATGATGATATGAAGGCAAAGGAAGTTGCAAAAGCTGTTCCAACAGAAAAAAGGACTTCTCGTTATATAGATTCACTCCTAAGAGCCGCAGAAAAGAGGAAGAAAGAGTACGAACGAAGAGTTGAAAAGAAAATTCAAGTTGAAAGAGAAAAGGAAGGAGATGAGTTTAAAGATAAAGAAGCATTTGTTAGTTCAACATACAAAAAGAAATTGCAAGAAAGAGAAGAGGAGGAAGAAAGGGAACGTCGTGAAAATATGTTAAATGATATGATGGACGTTACAAAGCAGAAAGATTTAAGTGGCTTTTACCGACATTTTTTAAAACAGACAGTTGGCGAGGAGAAAATTCCAGAATTTGGAGAAAGATTTAGCAATAAGAAAGAAGTACCTGAATCAGAAAATCCACCCCTTCAAAAAGATGGTAATACTATTTCCTCATTGGATAGGGATACAAAGGCATTAAGTACAAATGAATCTAATGAGGATTCAGATTCAAATTCTTTATCATGTGTTGAAAAAGAACACGTTTCAAGTATCAATAGTGGGGAAAGTTCTAATGAAGATTCACATGATAAGAATCTTCAAGCAAAAGATAATTCAAAACGCATGTGCAATCCTGAAACAAAGCATGAAGATAGTAAGTTACATAAAAAATATAGAAAAAGAACAGTAGAACACCATACTGAAGATACCTGTGATTTATCTGATAATGAGCCTGAAGGTAATATAAAACGACCAGTGAAAAAATGTTCTAAAAGTGAGCAACCATCTGATGACTTTGAAGAAAGTAAACATGAAGAATCTGAAGCATTAAAAATAGGAAGAAGTATATTTGCTAAACGTACTATAGGATCTGTATTTGATGAAGCTCAGGCAAGATACTTCCAAAGAATGGCTGCGCGAAATGCATGAATATTTTATTTTACAATACAGTGATGAAGATCCTGAGCTTTAAAGTATTCATATATGAAGTATGTAGAATTTTTACAAACTGTAATGGAACATGATTTAAAAAATTGTCTAAGTGTAACACTGGTAAAATCATAATAACCATATACAGTACAAAGTCCGTAATCCAGACTCATCGGGACTTTGGCGAATCCGGTTTAGGGTTTTTCCGAACTATAGATCATTATTTTAAATTCTTTTTGACGTAATCAAAAGTAAAGATAATTTTAGCCTAGCTTATACCATCTGTTATACGTTAAACGTGCTTGCGTAAAGCATCCAAAAAAAATTTGTGGCTCTGAGGTATGGATTATTGATCATTCCGGATTACGGACTTTGTACTGTATATTACAATATCAAATTGTTTTTATTTTGGAAACAAATTATTCCAATTTCATTTCTGTGCAGTATATTGCTGAATATTAAACAGTTAACAGACATAAAGTAAGAAATTTAAAACTAAATCCACAAAGACCAAAAGAAACAAAATTTAAAATCAGTAAATTTTAAAGTTCCCCAAAAAGATTTAAATAAATTGGTACTGTTCTGTTATCTGAACCAGATTATTATGTACATATAAACTGTGGCCATAATGCCATAAATAACTAGATATTTATATTTACTCCTATTGTTGGACAAAGTGGTGTTATTCCAAGCCAGTGATAATAAAAATGGTACTTTTAACAGCATTTAGCAGTGGTTGCAGCTTTGTTCGACTTGGCTTTTTAAGAAGGTATTTAGAATAAAGAATTTTAAATGGGTTAAAATTAATTATTGGATGCAAGTTGATGATTTTGTTCACATTTTAATCAAAACATCACCAAATTATCGACATTTATCATAAGTCAGCAAACATTATCACTATATCAAAAGAAAATAAACTTAAGCAATTTAAAATGCAAATTTTGACCATTAAATAATGATTCTATATATTAAAAAGTAAAATGCTTTATTGTTCACCCCATCTACAAAGCAATCTGTTTTTGCTTTAAAAAAAAAAAAAAAAAAAAAAATTGCACAAAATTGTTATTCTATACTGGCCATGATCATGAAGAATGGAAGTAATGTTGCCAGAATAAAATCGTTATCAAACAACAAAATTGCCAAATTTGGCATGCATTTGATACTTCATTTTAGCCTTTAAATGGTAATATTTAGCAAATATTTTAAAATTACAAACAGCTCTTTCTTGTCAGGATTTGGACCTGGATATTTTGATATGTAAGTAGCTTCCGCCATCTGTCGTATGTATGAAGCAGCTTCAAAATTTTTTTTGAAAAGTATCAAACATTTAATCCACTGAGCAGCTAGCTTTATTGTATGTAGTTAGTTTCTGCCAGTTTATGTATTACTTCATTATTTAAGATAGTTTTCTCTCAGTTTCTTTAATGATCCAAATATCATCATAATAAATGGAAAGTTAGGAAAACAAAAATTAAAGTAATTCAAATTTAGTATATAAGTGTACATAACGTTTTTATTTTTATATACAGTTTATCAAAAAGGAATCCAAAAACTTGACCACTCCGAAGATTAATGATTTTCTTAAAAAAATTGTCGACTTGTGATCTTGGCTTAATGTCATGCATTTGCACATTGTGTTAAATGCAAAAAAACAAATGTCTAATTTCATGTATATTGATTGAATTCTAATGTAAAAACTGTAATTTGATTCATATCTTCAATCTGAAATCTTTAAATAACTTTTTTTAACTGTCAACTTTTGCCTGGTCCTGAAATTATCTTACACTAAGTAGACCACATGAAAGAAGTATGTGAAAGGCAAAAAACAAATCGCAAGTTTTACGCATTCCAGATTTGAAACCTACAACTGATTAGGCCATATATATATTTATATATGTCCAAGGATAATCTTACTGATGCTTCTAAATAATTATGTGTATGTGCATCTTAAAATTTATCTAGATAATTAAAGATGTTTATTAGAAGAAAAGAGGAGGGAAGCACTTCCGCAGAGAACCTGGTAAATGTAAACATCGCCAACTTAGGCGATAATAGTTCAAACCTGGTAACCCAGCAGATTTATCCTATTCGCTTGTTCAAAGTTTGCAACCATTCCTCTTATGTTCACTTTGTTGAATTATCACTTCATTCGCATTTGCAGATTTATATTATTATTCTCTAATTTATTATTATTTTTTCTGAATTTTTTAACAACGAATAGATAGAAATATTTTCGTAGATAGATGCCGGTTCTCGGTTGGGGATGAATGGAAGAAAATACGGCGGGAAGGGTGAATGCAAATTTGTAACACGGCTGTTCACGTTGTGTTCTTAATTATTAACAACTCTTAAGAACCATGAGATTTCCAACCTCTAAAATAATTTGTTTCCGTAGGCCGCAAAAATGTGCATGTGCATTTTAAATAATTAAGTAATGCTTTTATTTTTATTATTAGTTATTGTCATCTAAAATTATGAGATAAATCAATTTTATGGCATAAATTTTAACAGATAATGTATTGTAATGCTTTTCTAACAATAACCTTTCAGAGGATGGCGGGTGGGACATAAATAGATGATTAAATTGAAATAAAAAATATTATTGATTATCTAAGATGACAGAATAGTTTGGTGCATCACCATGGTCATCAAAATTAGCAAACCACTGCTGGTGTAAGGAATATATTGTTTTCTGTGTTAACCGGAATTTAAGACAATTTTTTTTTTTCTTTTATCACGTTTAACCGGGTAATTTCAGTACACAAATACTAATTTATATTTTTTATTTCCGTTATAAATGCTTATACAGTCAAAAGTCGTTAATCCGGACTCGTCGGGACTTCGGCGATTCCGTATTAGGGGTTTTTCCGGATTATAGATCATCAGTTTAAATCTGGTAAGATGGCATGCAGAAATTATAAAATTAAAAATATGAAACCATAATTTATGAAATAAAGAGCAATTATGATCTAAAGGGTATCAAAATTTACAAAAAAAAAAAAAAAAAAAAAAAAAAAAAACTTAATATTTATTTGTTTACTTTATTAAACATTTCTTTCAATGTAAGTTGTTTAAGTTGTTGCTTCGTTTTTTATGTGATAATACGTTCTCTTTAATTCTATAAACAGACATAATTTCTGTTCAGGTACAAAGTTCCGCTCCTGTTCAAAGTCCTATAATTGCTGTGTCGAGAATACCGACTAATTTGTCAATCGAAATTTTTTCGTTTTCAATAACCTCTGTAACTTTCTTCGCTATCGGAAGCGAATTATAATGAGGAGGTATTTGATTTAAATCATATCAAAGACGGAGTACATCGAGATGAAATACTACATTGAGTAAGCAATTATGAGCCAAATAAAATTAAACATCTCCCTTAAGATAAGGATAGTGATGACAGATCAACTTCCAATTCATTGCACTCCGCCGCGGCGTTAAAGATAAACAAACGTTAAAGTTTAGATAAACAAAGGATATGCCTTTATCCATTTTTTGCAGCAATTCCACTTTTTGTTTAATGGACTTCAAAAGATACTTTCGCTTTGTATATCCTTTACATATTAGTAAATATATATCGGGAATTCTATTTGACATAATGAAAAGTTCAAGCTTACTTTTATAAAATTACTCTAACAGTCTAGAAAAATTAATAAGCCGGATCCAATTCGAAGATTAAGGAACAACGCAATCTGCAACATTAACTGAAATAGATAATTAGATAATTTTAGCTTAGCTTATCCCGTCTGTTATACATTAAACGCGCACACGCAAATTCGCAGCGGTAAAGGTTTCTGCGCATGCGTTCAGCGCGACGCATGCACAGAAAATTTGTAGCTTTGAGGTCCGGATATTTGTGTCCGAATTAACGACTTTTGACTGTATATTGTCTTATGCTTAATACATTCTTTTCTGTGCTAACTTGAATTTAATACAAATTTATTTTCGTATATCACGTTAAACCGGTTAGTTTTACATCTACATGCTTATTATCTGTGAATTTTTACTACCATATGCTTAAATATTGTTTTATCTGCTAACTTGAATTTACATGCACTAAAAATCATGTTTACGGCTCGACTCATCGTCGATGAACCAGGAACTTGGCTAGTAAAAATGCAACGCCGCCAACGGGTTCTCTACGTATGAAAACCCAAGAGGAGTCCAGGCATAGAGTAGTAGGAGGTTAAGAAAATATATTTTTTATTGTTTTAGAGCAAAACCTGGTTAATCTTTGGATTATGGTAACTTGGTGGTTTTTTGGCGAAAATGTGGCGACCAACCCTGCTACATCAACATGCTAGTTTTGTTTTGGATGCCATTTTGTTTTCACGAAGTAAAAAGGCATTTTTTTTTTACTCAACATTTTTCCCAACAATCTGCTACCCGAATTACGCTTATGCTAGAACTTTTACGGAAAAAAAATGCTTAATCATGACGAAGATTAGGTGCGAAATTGGGAGAAAGTGCAGAATCACCCACTGCTTGCCGCGTTTTTAAGAATTGCGCATACACGGTATCATCCATGTACACGTCGACCTATTTTCACTTAAAAAAAACATCCCAGAATTGCACATAAATGGCATTGTGCATACTCTTGACTTTATCCATGTACACTGCTAAAGTCCTAGTTAGTAACCTTTATCGCCTTACCAAAATGTCGCCAAACTGCCTGTTACCATATTCCAAAAATTAGCCCAAAACCTTATGTCAGTTAGAAGGTTAATGTTGATCTTACCAGCATATTAAAAAATAATGTGTTGATATGTAGTTACAATTATGTTCCCTCATTCATTTGATTGGCTGGTTTTACTACTGCAGGCATAAACAAATGTAGCTTCTTAAATATGATATTTAATGTAGATGAAATAGCTTACTATTATGCGTATACAAGTTAAATAAAAATATGATTTTAAGAGTATCTAAATAAAAACTGTGTGGAAACAAAGTTTTAGAAAAGTTAATGTGAAAATCAGAAAAATATTAATAAGCGAAGAATAAATTACATCCACAAAGACGATAGATATGCTACAGCATGTAAATTGTGAACAGCTGAAAGAAAGCAAGAGGAGTGGTTGCTACCTGCATAGATCGTTTTAGTATGATTATCAGTTTTGAACTGTCATTGCCATATATTTGGTGATGTTTACATTTATCTGGCTCTGTGTGGTAGTGCTTCCAGTCTCCTGCCTACATATTATTTCTTATAGCAATATACAGCAATGCAGCAAGAAGTTTTACTGCTGAGGGTGATCCATCTGCCATCTCTGTTAATGAAAATCAAATCTACAAAATGTCAGAATGGCATAAAGGGAAATAAGTAAAAGCTCTGCATTAATTTTTTTTGAATAAAACTTTAGTTCCAACATTTTAACATGCTACTTTCCTTCTTTTTTTATCATTAGCAAGATCATTGGTCACATTTTGAAAGTTTGTTTCATTACTCCAGTTTCTCTTCTCTAACAGAACAGTATTTATTACAAACAAGATACAGTCAAAAGTCTTGAATACGGACGTCCATAATCCGGAATGATCTATAATCTGGACCTCAAAGCTACAAACTTTCTGCGCATATGCGTTTACGCATGTGCACAATACGTTTATTCATTTGCATTTAATGTATAACGGACGGTATAAGCTAAAATTATCTAACTATCTATTTCAGTTTATGTTGCAGATTGCATTGTTCCTTAATCTTCTAATTGGATCCGGCTTATTATTTTTTGCAGACTGTTAGAGCAATTTTATGAAAGTAAGCTTGAACTTTCGATTATGTAAAAAGAATTTCCGATTCTGGAGCTGCCAAAGGATCTACAAAGCGAAAGCATGTTTTGAGTGGAATTGCTGCAAAAAATGGATAAAGGCACATACTTTGTTTCTCTAACCATTCCGAAATCTGTTTATCAATTTCACGCTGCGGGAGGGGAGGGGACGTGACAGCGCGCAATGAACTGGAAGTTGATCTTCAGGGCAGATGTTTTTATTTCATTCCGCTGATAATTCCTTACTAAATGTAGTATTTCATCTTGATGTACTCCATCTTTGATATGATTTAAATCAAATTTCTCATCATTATAAATATCACGAATGCACATCAAATAGTTTTCTGGTTGCAATTTTCGAATTTCGACTATGCGTAATGTATGCTTTACGCATGTGCGCCTTGAAAGAAATGTTGAATAAAGTAAACAAATAAATATTAAGCTTCTTTTTTTGTTAATTTTGATACCCTTTAGATCATAATTGCTCTTTATTCATAAATTACGGGTTTATATTTTAATTTTTATAATTTCTGCATGCCATCTTACCAGATTTAAATTGATGATCTATAATCCAGAATCGCCGAAGTCCCGACGAGTCCGGATTAAAGACTTTTGTCTGTATCAGGGGTGTTTATGCTCAGTGGAAACCCCGGAATTCCGGGGATTTTGAACTTTGATATCCAGAACAGAAATTCGGGGGATCGTCGTTCAA